TAATTTTGACCCATACAATGTAATTTTGGCTATTGCTACAAATATACCCCAGCGACTTAAGACTGCTTTTGTGGTCCAGGGTCACATATTTCTTTTAGTATAAATGAATAATTTAAAAAAAAGTTATCAAAATTGTTTTTGTTTCGTGATGTGTGTGTGTGTGTGTGTGTGTGTGTGTATAGATATGCACTACTACTTTTAGCTAGAAGCTAGAAGCATTAAAGCCACAAATAAAAATATAACTGAGGAGTTTGAGGCTGATTTGTGATGACATTAAACATTAAAATGAACTGATTCAGAAGAGTTGTTGCTTATGAATCACTTGAAGTACTGTATATTGCATACAGTCAGCAAAGACAATGCAAGATAATTTTTTTATCATTTTTTTATCTTATATATATATATATATATATATATATATATATATATAATCTTATAATCCTTCTTTCTATATATTGGTTATAAAAATGCTGATGCTTAATACCCTAATTGTTATAAATGTGCGAATAACAAGACCTCCTGTGTGTCTTAGACATGCTCCAGAGGAAGGATGAACAGATCGTTTCACTCCTGCTGGAGAAGATGAAGCTTTTCCGTGAAATGTGCGGTTCGTCCGACGACACGGCTTCGGCGGTCAAAATGCTCTTCAGGGCCAACAACAAGGACGTCCCCAAGGGGGAACCCATCATGATGGACGCTCTCAGAGAGGGTAAGAAATGCCACCAGCGTCTTCAGCTGCTCCCCACCTGTTGTGTGAAAGCTGATGTGTTATTTATGAGTTATTTGTGTCTGTTGGCAGCTGTGGCAACATCTCATTTCCAGTTTATTTTACTAGCATTAAAGCCACATTAAATAGTAACTCAAGAGTTTGAGTCTGATTTGTAAGCCTTTTGACCATTTCATTAACATTAACCGCTTCAGAAGAGTCATTTGCTTATGAATCACTTTGTACTGTTTGTTGCATGCGGTCAGCAAGGACAATGCAAGTGTTGCAGGCGCTGGTGAACAGCAGTCTGGGAGGGGCGGTGGGACAGCAGGTGGCCTGCGCTCCGGGGAACATGGGACCCGTGTGTTTGCCACGCAGAGCCGAGACCTTCGGAGGGTTTGACAGCCACCAGATGAACATGTGCAAACGTGAGACATTTAAAGGAATACCATTACTCAACTGTTTAACTCTAGGGGAGTTGGAAAATGAGCCTATTTTCAAAAATAGTGGAGTGTTCCTTTAATCTACTCATCATAATAACTTTAATTCTTCAGATCAGTCAGTGTAGCTGATGGTTGCAAACCAATTTTATATAATACAAGTTACAAAATGACTAAAAAAATTGTTTTCTATTTTTCATTCAGAAAACTTCATAAATCTGTATATGAAGCACAGTTACTGATTCGATCCTGCTCACAGTCATTGTGTTTGTGTGTCTGTAGATGGCGACAAAGAGGAAGCTGAAGATCTTCGGAGGACAGAATCTGACAGTGTACTGAAGAAGGTAGGAAGCCTGTGCTCCTAAGTCTAATGGCGCTTTTCCACTGCATGGTACGGCACGGTACGTGGCAGTAGAGGCGGCGCAACTATAATGACGTGAATAATCCCGGCCACTCTAAAGCGATACTAAACTGCAGTGGAAACGCAAACCGAGCCGAACCGTGCCGTACCGTACTGAGCCGTGCCGAGTCGTACCACGCAGTGGAAAAGCGCCATAATATAAGAAATTAGCTTTGGTCCAACATTATATTACCCAGTCAGTATCTGAACTCATGTTCATAATTCTGAATGTATAAATATAAATCCTGAATTTTTAGTTAAAAATCTCAGTTGTTTCAATAGAATTCAAATATACAGATGTCAATTGAGATGTCTTGATTATATCATTGTAAATCTGAATATTTAAAAATGTAAACTAGAATGTATAACTTATAATATATTAATAAATCAATATATATAT